TCTCCAAGTCTAATGATGTCCCTGTTATCTGGCAACATTTCATCCTTGTCCTTACTCCACTGGTGGGTTAATTTAAGAATGTCCTCCATGGCAGGAATGTGCCTGGATTGCCTTTGTACTCCTTTGCCATGTGTTCATAACACACACGTGTCTTAAGGAAGTGTTACCTCTGCTGCCGTCAATTGCCTGATTCTCACCCCTTTACTGTGCACAGCAGGTGCCTGACAACCAAGACAGGAACTGTTGGCTTTCGCTGCAGTGAGGGAGGTGTGTTCCTTGGGCTCATCCACAAAAGTGACTGCATTAGAGTTCTCAGGTAAAGGCTGTCATAGTGTCCCTGTGGGCACACTTGGTGACATTCGCCAAGTCACGCTGTCAAATTTGCTTAGAATGCTAACTAAAATAATTACCGTTCTTCATGAAATAATTGTCATTCTTCAATATCATATTGGTAAATGTTTTATTGCAATACTGTATTTTAGTCAAGAGTACTGAAATGAAGCCTAGCAAGTGACTCCGGGTCATAAATACAAGAGATCTTTCAAGACCCAAAAATATACTGACAGTGATGTTTTCAGCAGAAAAATAACATATAATCCCATACCACATTGTCTTTAAAAATTCTCTTATGTTAAATCCTATGTTTAAATACCTGCTGTAGCATTCTTCTTTCCCCTGTTCTTATAAATTGGAAAGTAGCATTGAAAGCCAAATGAGAAATGTGGCCAAATAACCCCTTTTCAGAGGAAGTTACAGTGAGTGCAAATCAAAAATATTTAACTACCAGAGCAATAATATTTTAGGCAAGAATTAAGATTTTAGACTGTTTAACTTTACATCTCACTATAGAATTAAGTGCAGGTGATTTTTTAAAAGATATTTTAGAAAGCATCTAAAAGTAATTTTTGTTTTTTAAATTTTATTCATACTTCACTGCAGATTATATCTGGATCTGGCTTTTGGTGTCACAATTTCTGCCCTCAAGGACAGTACAGTTTCATGGATGACAGACATGAAAATAAGGCATTCTAATAATCTGGGAATAGTATAAGAAAAAATGATAATCTGAGAAGATAAGGGATATTTTCATAGTGAAATTGACTACAGATAAATTATTAAAATGTAAATAGAAATCTGTGCAAAGTCAACGTGTAGGGAAAAGAATGACACATTTATGTAAAAGTATTATGTAGTTCAGAAGTTCTCAAGAGTG